CACAAACAAATCACAAAGCATGTAGTGTAAACAAAGTACGGGTCGTAGAACGAGGTACAGGAATCCACACACTATATATATATATATCCGGGGAGTCGTTGCGAAATCCCTACATACGCACACACATAAACTACAGCGTGGTAGCCTCTGGGGAAACTCGGGGCCTGGCCTACTCATCATCTCAGCATAGGCCAATACACGACATGAAACATTCATGATCAGCTTCCATGACACATGAAACAAATCAACTGTGTGTCGGTTCTAGACGTAGATCTAGATCTAGATATCTAGATCTACATGTGTACCTAGGGCTGACAGATCCTCTCAACACAACACACTATGGGAGACATAAACACATTGGCCGTGACACACAAGACAAGTCAACCGCGTGTCGGCCCTTAAAAACTAGCCTAGGGCCTACTGAACTTCTCAGTAATAAACAGTTGTGTAATACACACTAAGAACTATAACACATCCGATGTGTGTCATACAGATGACATTAAGGAAATCAAACTGCGTGTCGGCATAACACACTAGGAACAACGATGCATCCACTGTGTGTCATACCCATAATAACCCTTGAGAACAATCAAACTGCGTGTCGGGATTACTTACTGATCATCTCAGCTCAATAACACACTAGGAACAACAGCACACGGGCTGACGTGTGTAGTGACACAGAGGTGACACTGGCCGTGTGTAGAGACACAAAGTTGACACAGCAGACGCTCAACTGGTGGGAGCATCAAGTCACGCGCGGACACAGCGCCATGTCCCACACACACACAGGGACACCACAGCGTCAGCTCGGGTCAGTTAGCAGTGGATCCAGTGGTCAAATGGTCAAGTGGTCACTAAAACAACTCCGACACCGGTCACTGGTCACTGGCCGGTCTGTTGTTACTACTCCTGTAATGTGTACACAGATCTGTCGTCGTCTGTCTCCTGTCAGTACAGGATCTGTGTACAGAGATCTGTCGTCGCCCGTCTCCTGTCAGTACAGGATCTGTGTACAGAGATCTATCGCCGTCTTCCTGTCAGTACATGATCTGTGTACAGAGATCTATCGCCGTCTTCCTGTCAGTACAGGATCTGTGTACAGAGATCTATCGCCGTCTTCCTGTCAGTACAGGATCTGAGTACAGAGATCGTTAACCTTTCGCCAGGATGTCTCAGTCCATGTACATACATAGAACGTTCTCTTCTCTTCTGTCTCAGTCCATGTACATAGAACGTTCACTTCTCTTCTGTCTCAGTCCATGTACATAGATCTACCGCCTTCCTTCTGTCTGTACGGGTATAATATGTCACATCTATCGCCTCCTTTCTCAGTATGTGTACACAGATAGATCGCCGTCCTCCCGTTTATTCCAGTCTGTGTTCATCCATCTATCGCCTCCTCTCTCAGTAGGCTATTGTCCTGTTTCCTCTCTGTGCCGGACTGTGTAAAGTGTCGAGAGATTCTATATCCTGTACAAGTCTGTCTGTCCGTGTGTCCCCCAGAAGCGGTCCTGTGGTGACTGAGGGACGGAGAGATGGGGAGATGGCTGTTCTCTCAGGTTCTGTGCTCTGTTAGACCGTCCCTCCGTTCTGTTAAGCTGCGAGTTTTCTAGTCTGTCTCTCGCTCCTTGGTTCTGTCTTCTGTTAGACTGTCTCAACCTCCTTCGTTCTGTCTCTCGTGTGTTCTCTTCTACGGCCTCTCTCTCCTTCGTTCCGTTAGGCCGTATGCGTTCTCTTCTGTCCCTCTCTCCTTCGTTCTGTTAGACCCTGTCTCTCTCTCTCTCTCTCCTTCGCCGGGCCCCAGACTCAAGTGACGGAGGGAGACCCGAGCTTTTCGGCAAGCGGCGGGTGGAGAGTGGAGAGGCCTGAGAGTGATAGCGAGAGAGGGAGAGAG